AGAGCCACAAGGGCCCCCCTGAGCCTCCTTTTCTCCAGGCTGAGCCCCTGTCCCAGCTCCCTCAGCCCCTCCTGGTGCTCCAGCCCCTTCCCCAGCTCTGTTCCCATCCCTGGACAGCTCCAGCCCCTCAATGTCATTCCCAGAGCTGTCCCCAGCACTGGAGGTGCCCCAGCAGTGCCAGCACAGGGGATGGGCACTGCCCAGGTCCTGCTGCCACCCCAGAGCTGACACTTTGGCCTCTTGCCCACCTGGGCACACCTGGCTCATGTCAGCAGCACCCCCAGGACCCTTTCCAGCCCCTCTGCCCCAGCCTGGAGTTGCAGAGGGCAGGTGTCACCAAGTGCAGCATCATTCCCCAGCACTCCCTGTGCCCAGCCATCACCAGTTCTCACCCCAGCCCAGAGGGAACCTGCCCAGGCCATGGCTGCTGGATTTTCCAGGGATAAACCATGGGAGATGCTGTCAAAGGCTTTGCCAAAGTCCAGGTAGAGACACATCCACAAGTTCATCCTAAATTCATGCCATTAATGCTTTTATCTTGCTGCCACTGTCTTCAAGAAATGGATTAGGATTAGTTTTGAGAGATTTCCCCAATTTGAGGTGCTCGAATTTTATCAGAGTGGCAAAGTCAAATTTTCTGCAGTTACAGTAACACGAAAAGAGTTCACAAGTGCTCGCACAAAACCTCCTCATCCATAGCCAAATGTAGCTTTCTCCAAGAGGCATGAACATACAAAGGGTATCTCTGCAGCACAGAAAAGTGATTACAACCCAAAGAATGGCTCAGCTTATCAGATCAGCTTTGCTTGTCTCCACAAGAGCCACCACCATCAATCAGGAATCAAGTCGTTGCCATTCACAGCAGAGTGAAGCAGAGATAATTTGACACATAAAGCTCTGAATTAGACATAATTTGAAGAGGAGTAAGCAGGTGTTATTTTTTTATTGACTATTGTATTGCTTTAATAAAAACAATCTCATTTTAAAGGAGCTATTTAACTTCTCCCAGCCAAAAATCACATGAAAAACCATCTCCCAGGCAAAGCCTGTTCTGAATTCACACAGCAGTCAGATAAAACACAGATAAAGGTTGCAAATTCCCACTGCCAGGCATTCCTTCATGGAATTAACCACTCAGAACTGCAGATCTCAGAGGTCTGTAAACAGCCCTGCCTCCAGCTTTGACAAGTACAATCCTGACCACTTCACCTCCTTGCAGGTTGCTGCTCCAAAGCTCATTGCTTTTGGAATGCTTTAGGAAACTCCAGCTTTTCAATCTCTTTCCTGGATACCAAATGTAAAGGTCCTATTTTTGCACCTGAGGGTTTTGCTTGCTTGTTCCCACATCATACCACAGAAAGGTGATGGAAGCTTCCCAGTGTCTGCTGTGCTGCAGGGATTGCTGCATCTTCTGCTAATTCATCATGTTCCTTATCCCATGGAATTCATCCACCCAAAACCTCTGCTCTGGAGCCAGGCTGGGAGAGCTGGGGGTGTTCACATGGAGAACAGAAGGAACCAGGGAGAGCTCAGAGCCCCTGTCAGGGCCTAAAGGGGCTCCAGGAGAACTGGAGAGGGACGGGAAACAAGGGATGGAGGGACAGGACACAGGAATGGCTTCCCACTGCCAGAGGGCAGGCATAGATGGGAATTGTTGGCTGTGAGGGTGGTGAGGCCCTGGAATAGAATTCCCAGAGAACCTGTGGCTGCCCCTGGATCCCTGGTAGTGTCCAAGGCCAGGCTGGATGGGCTTGGATCAGCCTGGGATAGTGGGAGGTGTCCCTGACCATAGCCCATGGATGATTTTTAAGGTTCCCTTCTAACCCAAACCATTCTGTAATTCCCTGCAGGGGAGGCACTCAGTGTATTCTTGCAGCCTTACAACCCAGTGCTAGTGCTTGACAAAACAACTGCAAGGTCTGACTCTGAAAAAAAGAAAAGAATACAAACTTCTTCCCACCCTGATTTCATTCTCTGGATTACAATTGCCTCGATAATTCATTTGAAAACTAAACCCAGCTGAGCAACTGTCTTGAAAATTGAGTAACCTCAGGTTCACCTGTATTAAAAAACCTCAGCTTCAGGCAAAGCTGCTCATTCACAGTGATTTCACCAAGGCCTGGCCCTCATTTGATGTTTTTCTGATTACAGTTCCATTGTGTCACCGTTTAGCAGCAGCACTATTGTATTACAGTCTGTCACCAGCAGCTGACTCTGACTCCTGCACTCAGCTCCCTCAGCAGCTCCAGCCCCATGGCTGGATGTGAATTCAGTGCTCTACTGCCACTTCTCAGCTCTCAAAGCAGCTGCAGGAATCAGCAATAAGTTCCACAACTTAAAATAGATGGGACCTTGCAGGCTACTTGGGCTCGGGGCACCCTGAGGGTCTCACTCACAGCCTGGTAATAAATCTGATTATTGTCACTTAAAATTGAATCTCAGCATCACTGAGGTTGGAAAAGCCTTCCAAGATAATTGAATCCAAGCATCCCCCAGCACTGCCAAGGCCACCACTGATCCATGTCCCCAACTGCCACATCCACACAGCTTTTAAATCCCTCCAGGAATGGCGAATCCACCACTGACCTGGGAAACCCATTCTAATGCTTGCTCACCCTTTCTGTGAAGAATTTCTCCCTAATATCCAGTCTAGACCCCAACTTGGCACAGCTTGAGGCCATTTCCTCTCCTCCTGTCCCTGTTCCCTGGGAGCAGAGCCCAAACCCCCCTGGCTGTCCCCTCCTGTCAGGGAGTTGTGCAGAGCCACAAGGGCCCCCCTGAGCCTCCTTTTCTCCAGGCTGAGCCCCTTTCCCAGCTCCCTCAGCCCTTCCTGGTGCTCCAGCCCCTTCCCCAGCTCCATTCCCTTCCCTGGATACCAGAAGCCAGTTAGGAAAAAACCCCAAACCTCATCTAGCAAACCCATCATTTTCTGGTTGAAGGCCATTTTTAGGGCTCTTTCAGCCCCTCAGTTCAAACCACATCTAAGAGCACATGCACAATTATTCAGTGAACAAAAAAATAAATGACATTTTATTTTTCTTCCTTTTCAGTGCTAAAAAATGCTGGAGTCACCCATGCACACTGCAGTTATTGTAATATTTGTTAGTCCTTCCTCCCTTGCTGCAGGCAGCACTGCTTATCACAGAAAAAATTGTGCCATTCCCACATTTTTATCCATGATTATCTGGCATGTGTCACTGCCAGAAAAAGCTTGACATTTATTTTAAATTGCTGCAATATAAGGAAAGTGGCTGTATTACATTTACATTAAAATAATGGAATGCACAGCATTTAATATGAAAAGGGATTCCTGAACAAATTGTTTGCTCAGTGTGTTTCCCACACAACCATTCCACTGCTCCTGCAATACCCCAGTAGATAATATTGGAGATATTGTTGTTAATAATACATGGGAAACACACATCCCTGAGGAATTTCAGTGCATATTTGCTGGGTTTCCTTAGCTGGCAACACCGTCCCTTCCTTCCCCACTTCAGTGCAAAAACAAACTCTACATGTGCTCACTTACAGTTGTGCCTAATTATATAAATGTACTAATTACACACACTTTTCAAAGTAGGTAAATTTTAAATGGTGCCATTAAGGAAATCTATTTGATGATGGAAATTTCTGTAATATCATATTGCAATCTCACACATGGCAATTTTGCTCTCATGTCAGTATTTATTTAATGACAAATAACAGCAGAGGATAATAGAGTTGGGAAAGCAAATTAAAGCTGTAAGATTTGCAGGGGGATGTTGGTCAGCAGATGCTAAAGGAAGGGAATAAAAGGAATTTGGAAAAGCAGTGGATCTGAGGTAAATAATGAGTAAAAAGAAGTTTGGAATGATAAATGTCTTCCAAAACCACCAGATAAACACCTGCAAGGGTGACTTACCCCCCTCAGAAACAAATATAAGTCATTGAGCACTTCATTTACGCACACAGATGTCAGATCTGGAAATCACTTACCGGCAGTCCTGAGCACCTCTTTGCACTCACAATAATTCCAATTGCAAGTAGGATCCAGTCCTAGGAGCTCACCCAGTCATACCCACACTGGTAAAAAAAAAATCTGCTGCCTTTTGAGACCTTCTGGCTGATGTAAATAGAGCTTTTTACTTTTCACACCAAATATTCACCCAAATACCTGGTTCTTTAACATAACACCTGTGAGGTGATTGTATAATTAAATATAATGAACACTGATTGTCTTTTGGTACTACTTAAGTTTACTGCCCTGATGTCCCAGGTGAGTGGGGTTTTTTCATATAAATTAGAATAATTTAATATTTTTCTGCTGCAGAATCTGGATTTTGCAGAGCACTGGGCAGCACCACAGTGCAACAACACTGCAGGATACTAATCCCTCTGCCTTTACTTAAATAACAAAGTGGCAGGAAAGAGACAGAATGCATTCTCCCCGGAAAACAGGGGAAAACTCAGTGTAAGAAAGGGAATTGGTTGATGTTCTCTCACACAAATCCTTGTGTCACAACAAATACTCTCAGTAAGTCACAGGCTGTCACACCTCAGCCAAGACATTTATGGAAAGGCTTGATAGAAGTATCTCATAAGCATCAGGTGGGTGATCCTGAGTTATCCAGCTCAGTTATTGATCAGCAATGTTCAGGAACTCTTGGATCTGGGATTTTGGGTTCACCCTTCAGGGTTTGGGGTCCAGAGAGGCTTGAATAGCTTTAAGTTCACAGATTTCTGTTCTGCTGAACCCACACTTAATAAATCTGCAGAAGAGACTCAAAATATCTCTGCACAAGGAGCTATATCTCTTTCTGCGTGGTTATAAAATTACACAAAAAAAAAATCCTAAAAGTTGGAATTTAAAGCAACTATGATGCAAGTTGGGCATTGGACTGAGGAGCAGCAACAGCCGCACAGAGAGTGCAACGCACAGGGAGTGTGATTTTGTGTTAATTGGTGACATCTGTGACCTTGTGCTCACAGCTGAAGCCATTCCACCCCCTGCCCAGTGTTACCTTCTGATATTCTTCCTTGGATCTCAGGGCAGCTTCCATCTGCTCCTGGGAGAAGGTGTAGATGGCCGAGCGGTACTGAGTGCCGACGTCGTTCCCCTGCCGCATCCCTGGGGGGACACAAGGCAGGGGGATCAGCTTCCCTCCTTCCCTGGGGGCTGGGAGAAATCCAGAACCCTCCATTCCAGAGAATCCCAGCATGGGTTGGGTTGACTTGGGTTGGGTTGGGTTGGGTTGAGTTGGGTTGGGCTGGGTTGGACTGGATTGGGTTGGGTTGGGTTGGGTTGAGTTGGGTTGGGTTGGGCTGGGTTGGGCTGGATTGGGTTGGGTTGGGTTGGGTTGCGTTGGGTTGGGTTGGGTTGGGTTGGGCTGGGTTGAGTGGGGTTGAATTGGGTTGGGTTGGGTTGGGTTGGGTTGGGCTGGATTGGGTTGAGTTGGGTTGGGTTGCGTTGGGTTGCGTTGGGTTGGGTTGGGTTGGGTTGGGCTGGGTTGAGTTGGGCTGGGTTGGGTTGAGTTGGGTTGGGTTGGGTTGGGCTGGGTTGAGTTGGGTTGGGTTGGGTTGGGTTGAGTTGGGTTGGGTTGGGCTGGGCTGGATTGGGCTGGGTTGGGTTGGGTTGGGAGAGACCTTAAAGTTCATCTCATTCCAACCCCTTGCCATAGGACACTTCCCAGTAAATTCAGCACAGTTTCTGCCATGCACACTCAGCAAGGAGCATTAGGGAGTCCAAGTCTTTGGCTAAAGAGTCCTGAAGGGATTCAATGCTGACATCTCCTTTTAAATGTCATGGAAATGAAATATGAGCATTTTATGGTTTTGTTCCATCACACAATAGTCAAAAACAGATGTCAAACCCTAAATAATTAATCTGCAGTCACTGTAATCATGGTGCTCTTAAAAAACCCTGATTTTGGACCATGCAAATGGTTACCAAAAAATGTTGATTTTATCAAGTGCTCATAATCTTTCTTGTGGTGTGGGAATACAACTTAATGGCAGAGAGGTACAAAATACTTTTGGAGAAAAATAGTTATTTTTGGGACAGGCTGCCCAGAGAGCCTGTGGACTCCCCATCCCTGAAGGAGTTCAAGACCAGGCTGGATGGGAAAGTTTGGCACCAGGATTTTGTGATATTTCTGCTGATACGTGTAACCCCTTCAAAAGACCTGATGTATGAAGTCATTCATGTACAAATTTGAAATATAAGGGATGGATTCTCCCTGAAAACCTACAAAACACTGGGCCAAAGCAGAGGGGTCACAACTGTCCCCTCAGATGACCAGCCCAGATTTGGTTTGGCACTGCAGTCCTGGGAAGTCACGGCTCATTCCCTTTCCCACTCCCATTCCCATTCCCATTCTCTCCAGCCAGCTTTGCTGTGGATCATTCCCTAAACTAAAACACCAGCCTCAGAGCAGCTTTAGCATCAAGAATTCTCTGCACATGCACTTCTGCAGCTGCATTGGCAGCTTTGTTACCACTGCTTTTCTCCCCTTCTTCCCAATTCTGTGTTCAAGAACCCGACTTTATGCTTTGCTGGAATAAAATGTGTTAATTTTGACTTTGCTTAAGAAACTCCAACTTTTTCACTCTCCCAAGTTCATCTACACCAGCAGACAGAGTCCTCCCAAAAAGCTGCAATCCAAGACAAATTGGAAATCATCAGGATTGGTGTTAGGATTGCCACCAGGCTGCAGAAGCCCCTCTGAGGATTCCCATCAAGTGTCAGGATTGTGGAGATGAAATGGAAAAGGAAATGGATGTCCTGATACCCCCCTGGCAAAGGACAGAGGGTGGAGAAAGAGCCTGTGGTACTGGAGGGAAAAAATGCCATCAGCTCACTACTCCTCATTAAATCATGGATTTATCCCTCTTAGACTCCCCAGGGCAACAAAAAAATTATTTAAAGGGAAATACAATAAACAAACAAAAACTGCCTGAAATATTCATGAAAAACAAGATACAAAAATATTTTAAAATATGTATAAGGACAAAAATTCCATTCAATGACCAACAGTTACATGAAAGAATCTAATTCCAAAACATCTTCTGGAGTTTTCTGATGATTTGGGTTATTTTTTAGCTGTTAAAATGTATTATTACAATAAAAGCAATAACAATGTTCTTCATCAGTACTTAATAGTGGCAAGTGCCACCAGAGGATATTTTGCTCATTCCTTTGGAAGTTCTTCCAGGGTGGCAGGAAGCTCTGGTAAAGCCAATTTGGGATAAAATGAGGACAGGCCAGGAAAGCTTTAATTTTGCCAGAATATGTTAATGCTGATTGATGCTTGAGCTTAAGCATTAACATTCTGCAAATCTATTTATTGCTTAACAAACTGTTTAACAACCAACTAGGGAGGAGATTACAAAAATCTCTCTAAATGGAGGATCACTACAGAGGGTGCTGGTTTCCAGCATGAATTTAGGAGTGTAAGTTTGGTATGAGCTCACATGCACAGTGCTCTGAGTGAAAAAATCAGATTATTTAATATCTGCACGTGCCACCATGACATAGTATCTAGGAACCAGTCAGCTTAATTAATTTATTGAAGAGAAGGTTAAGAGGAGAACTGACTCTAAATTAAAAATACATTTCTAGAGGAGAAAAAAAAAAAAAAAAAAAAACCAGGGAAATGAGGCTCTTCAGTCTTGCCAAAGGGGTTTAACTTGGAAGGGCAATTGAAAGCCAAAGTATCCGAAATCCAGGTGGGAAATAAGACAACATCCAAGCAACAAAGAGCATTTATCTCTTGAACAATGCACCCAAAGCCACATTCCGTTCCTGAGGGCTTCACTTCAAGGAAATACATTTTCATAGAATCATAAAACAGTTTGGGTTGGAAGGGACCTTAAAGCTCACCCAGTGCCATCCCCTGCCGTGAGCAAAACCTGCCAGTTTAGGGATAGTTTTTAGGGTAGCTCCAGTAAATCAATCTTTTCTTCAGGGATAATAGGGAAATCTGCCAGTAGGACCTGAACCTTCCTTTCGTTCAGGACTGAGATGAAAAACAGGTTCCTTCTTAAAGTTGGAACATCTGAATTTCTTAAAGAAAATTTATTAACCCTGAGGAATCAGAGAATCACTGAGGGTGGAAAAGGCCTCAGAGCTCACCAAGTCCAACCATCCCCCAGCACTGCCAAGGCCACCACTGACCCATGTCCCCAGGTGCCACATCCACATGGATTTTAAATTCCTCCAGGGATGGGGACTCCACCACTGCCCTGGGCAGCTGTGCCAGGGCTGGACAATTCTTTCCATGAAGGAATTGCTCTCATCCAGATCTACTTTAGTAATATCAGTGGGGCAAGACAGAGACTGGAAAAGGTAAACCCTGTGTCCCTGACCAGGTGATCAGGAACACATCCAGCAGGAACAGGAATAAACAGACCTCTGAGGTAACAGCCGGGCACTCACTGGTGAGGCCTGAAACAAAGAAAATCAGCTGATGCGCTGGGAACAGCCAGAAATCCTCTTGTCAAAGAGATTCTTTGATAGAGAGACTGATTGTAGAACAGAGAGAAAAGCAGAGAATTTGCACCTCTCTGGCAAAAGACAAAAACATGTGGGGTTTGGATATGGTTGTGTGGTGCCAAAGCGTGAAAAAGTCCAAAATCCAACAGCCCAGATCCTGTGTGAGCACTGGGCTGTCACTGTAAGCTCTTGTCTCTGGAGAGCCAGAGTAGATGAGGGAGCTCCAAATGTGTTCAGATGTTGGGCATGGATCATATTCAGGAATTTCCCTCTGGCTGACGAAAGCATCTCAGCAGAGCTCAGCCCTGACCACTCTGGAGAACACAAAATGTCCTCACTGTGCCAGCAGAGCCCGGAGCACCAATTAACCACAAAAAGCCCTCAAGAGCTGAGCTCTGACGTATATGAAATGGAAATTTGTGGTGAGAGGATGGTGGCTGGAGAGAAGAGGGCTGTGATGAGCTCCCAGATTCTGTCAAAGGAACAGCTCCCAGGTTGCCATGGAATATAAACACACTGCCACTGGGAAAGCTGATATTTGCCCAAGTGTAGATAATAGGCAAAGAAATGGCTCTAAAAATCCCTTTCTTACCAACACTTTGGTGTCTTCTGATGCACCTGGGTAGGAATGACTTAGTTTTTGTCTTCTTCATATTCTTTGGCATCAAAGCAATGAATTCTGGCTCTCTTTTGGTTTGAATGACAGGTATATGGACTGGAATATGGAATCCCCATCCCTGGAAGTGCCCAAGGCCAGGTTGGACAGGGCTTGGAGCAGTCTGGGATAGTGGAAGGTGTCTCTGCTCAAGGGCAAGGGGTGGAATGAGATGATCTTTAAGTTCCGTTCCAACCTAAACCATTCTGTGACTTTCTGATTAATAAAAAAACATATTTCCCAGTACTGTTTTTTTTTCTTTAGAAACTGCAAACAAGCAGATTTGATTCCAAAAAGCCGATGTTTAATACATTACCTACAGAAAGCTAAAGCAAAAGACACTTTATTTCATTGGCTAAATCAAGGAATTCTTTCAAAGACTCAACCCTCTAATGACTTGAAAGTAACACTTATACACCACTCCTTATCTTCCCTCCATTTAAAAATAATAAAAAAAAGGTAATGGCATCATCCGTCAACTTTGCTATTCTCGGAGGATCCCAGGCATAATGGAGATAAATGGCTGAGGTCTCTTCGACTCTTCTCTGCCATCCAGTGAAATTTTAAAGGGCAGTTCATAGCTCTTATTTTTATCATAATTTTTCCTGTGATTTATAGACTTTCCTGCAGCTGTCACTTATTTTCTTATACCTGCAGCAACCTGAGATACAGATTGGTCATTTTCTTCTCCCCAATCAATCCTTGCTGAGTTAGGACTAATAAAACTCCTTCTTCCAGCTCATCATATCATTATTTAGTAAAAATCAATGGCACCATGTCAGCCTGGCTTGATGTCATCACTCACTCTAATGATTACATCCATACAGCTTAAAAGTTGCCAGGGGAAAGTAAAACTCTTTATGGCACATGATTAAAGGAGAAAAATGTTAATAAGAAAGAATTTCGTTACAGTGTTGTGCATTGAGAGCTCTGGACGATTTTCAAGGTGCCGTGGTGCAGGAAGTATAAATTAAATAGAAAA